GAATCCCTGTCCTCTCCTCACCCGTGTGCTTATCCCTTTCCCATCTTGAAAGGCCACATCTTGGGCAACTTGTGATGTCCTTGTATTCCTTACGGTAAAGTATGCAGTCGTTTGTGCAGGCATGTATCTGATCGTATCCAAAACCAAAAACTTTCAGGAATTTCTTCATTGAATCTGTTGAACTTGGAAGGACATTATCCCTAGGAAGCATGTCATGAACTACCGTCAGTAGCTGGTCGAAGTAATTCTCAGACATACCACTCTTGACTTTGATGCGGTAAAGCGCCATAATTGCTGAAACCTTTGTGTGGTTGGGACAGCCAGAATATAGTGGAGTTTCAGCATCTTCGAGTTTCTTCCTAAACTCAGATTCCTCTTTACTGTCACCTTCTTCTATCTGAACTTCATCGTTTTTATGGGGCTGTAGAGCTTCACCATCAAAGAAAGCAGTTCTGAATAAGTCATAAGCTTCATACTCTTCACTTTCGATATGTGATGGCTTATCAGCCTTCGCATCTCCATGTTCAAACCAACTCTGCTTCCTCTTGTATTTCTGATCCATACCCTTGATGATTATATGATCCACCACTGTCTCTGTCGGCTGATGACACAAGTTGCGGCAGTCAATGCAGGGACACAACATATCACTTGGTTGACCCAATCTTAAAGCTGATTCTTTCACAAAAGCAAATGCTCCTTCCTGATACTCAAGGCTAGCCCTGCAAGACACAAACATTTCAAAACTCATATCTCAAACACTGTTTACTTACAAAAAAATGAAAATATATAGACACGCTTACACATACCTTGGTAGCCAAACCCATTTCTTGTCCATTGTTAAAAGAAAAACAGTGCTCCAGATCCAAGTGTATGTACAATACACGAATAAGGTTTCGTAAATCACAACACTGAAACAGAAAACTAAAATATGAAAACAATATCGAAGGAACGAGAAACTCACCACTAAATTAATTGTACTCCTTTAATTTGAGAAGATTTCTGCAAAAGAAGCATCGAGTATTAGTTAAAACAAAAATTGATGACGAAATTGAAGAACCCTAATAGATGAAANTCGAAGGAACGAGAAACTCACCACTAAATTAATTGTACTCCTTTAATTTGAGAAGATTTCTGCAAAAGAAGCATCGAGTATTAGTTAAAACAAAAATTGATGACGAAATTGAAGAACCCTAATAGATGAAAACTGTAGATCTAATAGATCTAAAAGATGAAAACTGTAGATCTAATAGATGAAAACCCTAAATAAATTATAAACAGACTGAAACCCTAACTCAATTCGAAAATTGAGGACAAACTCGAAGACCCCTAGATCGATTAATCTTACTCGTGATTGGGGAAACGAGATGACTCCTTCGACAACTAAGGAATGAAAGAGATTGTGAATCAAACAGAGAGGAGGAGTGAGGATTTTGAGTTTATTTCGATCAAACAGAGAGGTGGATTTGAGAGAGAGTTGAGAGGTTTCGATAGAACTGAGGTGAGAGGGTGAAAGGGCACTTTTTTGCCTTAGAATTTTTTTGTGTGGGAAACTAAAAATTTAGGTGTAAAAATCCCGCGTATTGGTTTACATAACACTTTTAATTTTGTTTTGCTATCAAAAAGTAACCGCAAAAAACATTTAGCTAAAAAAATAAGCCGCGTATCAAATTTTAATTTCCGCCTAAATTAAAGATAGCGTTTCATTAAAAAAAACGCTATGGAAAAAACGCGTGTCGTAAACCATAGCAAAAACACAAAAAACGCTATACTGGTGTGCTACGAATAATCGATATTCTTGTAGTGATTGTCTCTAAGCCTTGGTTAACTGTTACTAGCTCCAATTTTCTTAATCTTTTGTTTACTTGAAAGAAGTACGATCCATTATCTTTGTAGATTAATAAGTACGATTCACTATAGTGTAGACTATAGAGTACTGGTTAAGATTTGCACATAGAAGGCTTCTTTGTGTTGGTTAACTATTATAAAATTTTGCAGGAGCTTCCTCCAGTTCCACCTGTGGATGTCATTCTGGAACCACATCATGTCACGCTTCCTCTTGGAGTTGTTCTTTCGGTATCATAAAATAAACTCTACCTGTGTGCGCCTATTGCTTATCTATTTGATGTATTTGTCAATCCCCTACTAAAACTAAACCATTGTGATTTCTGGTATTCCAGGTAATGAGCACACAAGTAATAGTTGGGGGAATGGAAAAGCATAGTCCCTTGGCTGAAGGTTCTATCCTATGGATAACTGAAAGTAGAACTCCATTGGGGCTTGTAGTTGAGATCTTTGGACAAGATGGTTTCCCTTTCTATATTCTGAGGTTCAATTCAGAGAACGAAGTGCCGAAGGGGTTTAGTGAAGGTACACCTGTCTCATTCGTCGCTGAGTACGCTCAACATATTCTCAATATCAAGGAACTGCAGAAGAAAGGTTACGATGCGTCTGGAGATAACGACGAGGAGATATCCGAGGAGCTTGAGTTCTCAGATGATGAAAAAGAAGCCGAATACAGAAGATTGCAGAAGATGGGAGAGAGAGGAATGATGAATGACCAGAAACCGGTAACACAAGAAAAAAGAAGAAAAAAAAACCAAGATCGAGAAAGGTCTACAAGCAGTTACTCAGGGGAATTGACAGAGAACCTTTATAAACTCTATAACCATTTATCAACTCTTATAATATTATTTATAAACGCTAATAAAATTATCTATGAGCACCAGTAAATGATTTATAGGACTCTACTAGATCATTATAACTTTATAAAGGTTTATAAAAAAGTTATAAATACTCCATGTGTTACAAAAACCTCTTATAAATATTCCATCTGTTACAAAATATCTGTCATATGTTCCAGTGCATAACCAGCACTATGAACCGGTCTAAACCCTCGGTTTGACAGCTCCAGAAGACACATTGTTCAACTAGGACTAGACCAGACACACCCAGTTCATGGAAGGACCAAGCAAACTACAAATTCTGTTTCCATTAATAAGCATCATCAGTAGTTTCTTAGAGTTTGGTTTCGTATAGATAAGCTTGGTATTGAAGAATAGTATCCAACATCGAAACAACTTCAACTATATGATTGCCTTTGTTCAACATCACACAGCTCGCCCTGCAAAAATATCCAAACTCCATAGTTAGACAAAGAAATGTTTAGCAGGATCATGTTTACTTTTGGTGAAATTTTGTTTGACTTTCTGCCATTTGCAGCATATGTGATCTCAGCTCGAGTTGGAAGACCATTGACAAGCAATTCAAATAACCTGCTTTGTATCTCCCATAAGTTTTGTTTTCAAGTCATCACAAAATGTTAAAAATGTTTATAATGGTTTATAAGAATTTAAAAGGGTTTACAAAATCACTTACATGTGCTTATAAAAGTTTTATATAGAATTTATAAGGGTTTATAAAGTTTATAAATGGTTTAAATAAGTTTATTAAAAGATTATATAAGATTGTTAAGGTTTATAAAATGTTTTGAAGAGTTTATATAGGGTTTATAAAACCATATAAATATTTATATAATTATTTATAAAGGTTTATAAAACCATTTATAAATTTTATAAGAGCTTATAAAACCTTGTGTCAACCATCTATAAAGTTTATAAAACACATAAATATCAATATAACTATTTATAAAGGTTTATAAAACTATTTAAAAGGGTATAAAACTATTTGAAAGAACTTATAAGCTTTTTATAAGAGTTCATACATTTATTTATAAATGTTTATAAATAATTTACAAGGTTTATAAATCTGTTTATAAGAGTTTATAAATCACCAAATTAACCAACTTGCCACCATTTCTTTGCTTATTTAAGAACATCATGCTTTTACAGTTCATTTTATCTACTCTATTAATATAAAATCCTAAATTTTATATACTTAAAAAATTGTCATTAATTTTTGGACTATGTCATTGTGTTAACTACGATGGACCATTTCAATATATAATTTGACGCTACATAGTAAATACAATCAGGCAACTTAAATTAAACCAAACATCTAATCCATTAAACCGAAACCGATCTCTTAAAGGAAAATTAAATCTACTCTATTAAACCGAAGTGTTTCTACTATTACCTTAACAATACAAAAACTCTAATTAAACTTCATGGTAGTATAGGTGATCGTCTTTGCTTCTCTCCAGTTCATAAACTGCAACATAACAAAATATTTTTGTATTTTATCTTTCTCCATCTTTCATCAACGTAATGGACCTGGTTGTAATAAAGCACAACCGAAGTAGCATCAATGCTATCAGAAAACACACAGAAATCGTAAAACTGAGCATAGCTTCTCTCCGCAAGCTGAGTATTAAAATATTTTAACTGATTAAAAACTCTTGTACATAATTATAAGCCTTTATCAAATTATATATCATTTATAGAAGTTTATAAATGATTTATTAACATTTATAAATCATTCAAAAACTATGTATTCAATCTAGTAACAAGCGAAAGTTTAGATCTTCGAAGAATTCTATGTGTGTCTTTTGTGATTGAAAATACTTTACATTTTGATGTAAGGAAGTATCTCACTATAGCCCTCAGTCATCAACAACCAAACACAACAATACCAATAGCCATAACAAGCAATTTTTTGCATCTCAAGATAAAAAAAAAAACTCGATCTTAGCTCTAATCAAAACCAGAACTGAACTCAATGAAAACATATAGAAGAACCCTTTATAAATTGTTATTAGTTTCTAAATCATTTATAATGGTTTAGAGGTCATTTATAAATATTTATAAAATCATTTATAAATTACTATTAGTTTTTTATAAGGCTTTATAGATTATAAAAATTATTTTTAAAGTCTTTGTAGTGTACATTAAGTTTCTAAACCCTAAAATTAGTTTATAAGCCTTTATAAATTAGTTTATAAACTCTTCTAAATTAACTTATAAACCTTTATGAACCATTTTATAAGCTTTTTATAAATTAACTTAGTAACCTTATTAAATTAGTTTATAAACCTTTACAAATCAGTTTACAAACCTTATATGATGATTTTATAAACCCTTATAAATTAGTTATAAGTTTTTATAAATTAGTTTATACGCCTTTCTAAATTAGTTTATAATCATTGTATAAATCATTTATAATCATAGTTCAATAATTAGTTTGTAAACGTCATAGAATGATATGTCTAATTTTCCATAATTCTAACTTTTACGAATGACGTGTGCATCATACAAGAAGCAGAGATGATATCTCAGCTGTTAAAAAACCTGGTTGATGCTCTGCTTAGATACACTTTGTCTTCTCTTTTTCTTTCTTGTATTTTATTTTTATTCAACATCAACATTTTCACTATTTCTTGCACATTTGTATACATACATTCTTGAAATGGACAGACGAATAAAGTTCACACTCACGTTTTTGTCCAGTTTCTACTCTACAATCGCTTGCTTTGTTGTATCACTTTCTCTCTGCTTCTAATGGTCGATGATCCTTGATACGTAGATGTGCCATTGTTGATGCACCACCTCTCTCTCATGCTGATTCCCCCATCTGCAACTAAAACAACCTTATTCAGTTTAAAGGCTGAGCGTGGAAGCCAAACAAATATGCTTTGAAATGCTTCTTCTTTCAATTGCAATATATGTCTTGTTATGCAATACAAACTCCTCCTATGAAGTTTGAATTTAGGTATACAAACTCATTTATAAGAATACAAAAGTATATGTGAGAGTGAGACATTTGAAGATTGATAAGTTAATTATAAAGGTTTATAAAACCTAACATGATAAAACCCAACTATCTGCTCCATTTCCAAAAACAACCAGCAATCACCAAACAAATACACAATAATAAAAAAAAGATACAAATACATTTCAGACATAAAACCTAACATGATAAAACACAACTCGACAATCTATCTTATAGTCCACTTAAGGACTACAAGTTTTTGGCTCCAAATAGAATGATAGTTCCACCATATTTATCGTTCACTAAAGGACTCTGTGCAAGCTTTTTGGCTTAGTTCCACCATCTATCATTATCTAACCTAACTTTCTAACATTTCCTATATGTTGCAGCATCCTTAAAGCTACATGCCAGAGGCAAGACCATGAAAAAGTAGAGTAAAATCAGAGTCACTGACCAGAAGAAGTATCAGAAAACACCAAAGTATTATCTTTGGTATCAAAGACAATCAATCCCCAACAAGAACAAACACACTTGTTTAAAGATTCGAGCTTTTACCTCCCCAAAACAATGGTTTCACATCTTCTTCTTCTTCATCATCGTACTCATCACCATCGGGTCGACAACAACGGGGAGCCCGAACCCATTAACTTCCTTCTCTCCGCCGGAACCCCACCGCGACCACCGTGCCTCGCTCACATCAAAAGCCCAATTCGCTTCGCAGAACAGCTCACCACTCAAATCTGTGCCAACATCGAAGGGTAAATCAGATCAAATCCCACGAGCTCCGATGAAGCAGCATCTCAAAGTCCATTACGATCACTACTCCGATCAGACACCAATCTTGAATTGTGCCACCGCCGCTTCCTTGCTACTAAACGAAACTCCCCTCGTCGTCTTTAGCATTGAGGAGGAAGATTAGCTTTAGGTTTAATTAAACAGGGGTAGGATGGTATTTTTCTATTAAAATTTTAAAGGTAAAAGTGGTTAGTGTAAAGTTAAAAATGTGTACAAGGAAAGTGGTATTAGTGGCAAATTCCCATTTTTTTGAATACTTGTATAGTATTTGGTTTATTACTTGATTTTGTTTTGTATTTGATGTGGTTTGATATTTATCTTTTCCATTATTTAATCTATTTTCCTTAACTACTTAAACATAAAATATTTAAAATCCAAAACATAATTTTATATACACATACAAACTTCCAAGCATAATTTGTTAAGTATTTTAAATAAAGCTAAAGACAAACTACCCATAGGCATTGATAATATACAAAAACCAATAGTTTAATTTTGTTTGACTTCCGTTCAAATTCATTATTAATATTAAACACACTAAATTTTTTTAGTTGTGATGAAAACACAATACAATAGATAATTTTTTTATTTAAACTAATAAAATTTGTACAAAATTTTGAATAAATTAAGTATTATATAACAAATAACGAAACAAGTAACCAATAACAAGTAACGAACCAAGTAACAAGTGAAGTAGTTAAATATAAAAATAGACTTGATACTTGACTTGTACTTACAAGTATAAATTTTTTTTTACTTGTTACTCGATTTGATTATGCCAAGTACTTATTTTTCCAAACCAAACCGAGTCAATTAGCAAGTATAAACCGAGTATCAAATAACAGTGGCCAGTCCTAATTGTCACCATTAGTCGTAATATTAAACTATTTAAATTGACGAGATAATTAAACCAGATGCCTGAAACAAAATTGATTAAACCGGATAAATAACACAACAATACGTCCACACATTAGGGAATGACAATAGTAAACTTACATTGAAAAACAACAAAAGAAAAGAGACAGTAGTAAACGCAGCGTAACTCAGTGTTACTTTTATTATTTCGTTTCAGACGAAGAGAAATCAACAGAAGATAGATTCTTTCACACAAGTTAAGATTGATCTTTTTCTCGTTAATATTACTGATCTATTATGATCAGTCAGTTTGATGAACCATCATGTTGGCCTTGCGCTTTTTCAACTCTTCAGAGAGATCTTGTGCAAACCTGCATGGACAAATCTTCAAGCGATGAGAATGATGAATGACACCCTCATAACAAGTTTTGAGACTTTGAATCACCTGATGAGTTCGTCTTTATAGGTTCTTTTGCTCCCCTCAATAGGTTCATATTTAAAAGTGTCCAGGTTCATACGTTTAACCTCGCTGTTGAGTAAATTCTGTCCGATCTTCTCAAGATTTTTCAAGTTCGCATCCGTTGAAAGATCCATGGAGACATCGGCTTCGTCCAAATCATCGACCTGATGAGATAGATTTTCACATATAAAACAGAATCTTATAAACAAAAAAAAACCTCTTTGACTAGTCCACTTGCATGTATTTAAGAAAACGGTTCTGCACATAAATGTTTGTAAGTATAGCAGCTCGTACGTCGATTCTGAGGTAATTATCCTCGGCATTTAGGGCTTGGAACAGAACCGAGGTGTGGTATTGGGCCACGCCCCGGCCTGATTCAAAGACAACGTCTAATAAAGGAGTCGTTCTATCTTTGGCGTCGAACATCCAAGATAACACTCCCCATTTCGCAGCATCTAGGGCGTTGTACGTCTTCTTAGGCTCTGCCGATCCTGTCCCTATGGAAATCACAA